TGTATTCAAAGTGGTTAGGATAGATATATAGTTACATTCTCTTAATGAATACAGTGATTTGTTCTAATGATGTTTGTAAATAGGATATTATGTCCGCATCTTGTATAGCAATTAACCACTAGGAAGAATGTATGCTATGTGTGAATTATTGAAACTGTCCTACCAATTTGATTTGGAACTGTCTCATTGCTATTTGTTTATCAATAAAATTATGAGAAAAAAATAAATAAATAATTTTAACATTATTTTGTTCTGTCAATGCTTTTGTGATAGTTATTAAAATTCATAACATTTGTTCTCTAAAAAAATACAATGAGTCCTAGCACAGGCCCCAGTGAGTGTGTGGGAGAGCTTCCTGCTATACTGCAGCAGCAAGATCTGAAGGTCCAAGCCCAGGCACAGCATGGGTGAGACCCTCTTCCACTCCCTTGGGACACCCCCCAGCCATTCCGCAGCATCTCCTCTCCCCGCCCCCCAAGTGAAAATTTCTGCCTTGTTCTGAAGACCCCCAGATCAAGTAAAAGCCCAGGCCCAGTGAGTGGTTGGACAAGCTTACTGCTACTCTGTGCCTGCAGGACCTGCTGGTCCCAGTCCAGGGACAGCGTGGGTGAGACCCTCTTCCACTCTCTTGGGACCACCCAATCACTCTGCAGCACCCCTCCACTCTGCCGCCAAGTGGGAATTGCTGACATGTTCTGAGGACACCAAGATCCAGTCCTAGCCCAGGCCTGGTGAGTGTGTGGTAAACCTTCCAGCAACTCTGTGCTGGTGGGACCTGCTGGAACCAGCAAATGTGCAGCTTGGGTTAGATGGTCTTCAACCCCCGTGGGACACCCAACACTCCACAGTATATCCCCACCTCACCCTCCCAGAGAGAATGTATGCAGAATTTTAGGGACCCCCAGATCCAGCACTAACCCAGGCCCTGTGAGTGTGTGGAAGAGCTTCCTCTCCCCCTACTCCACCTTATCACCTCCAGACTCATCTGAGGCCTGGCATACAGGCCTGGGGTAAAACCCTTCAGCTGCAATCCCTGCAGACAGAGTAGGGGACAAAGCCACTCAGCTAGTCCAGGAGCAGAACATCTTGCCAGAGGGGCACAACAGGATCACTCCCAAGGGCAGCAGGAGGAAGTATCAGAGCACAGCAGCCAGACCCTAGCCAGGTACAGCAGCATAAAAACAAACCTTGTAGATCTGCACCTCAATTTCAGTAGGTGCCAAAGTTATAACTGCACTGAAGCTCTACAACAAAGTTAAGAAGACAGTGCTACACAAAATGACAACAAGAAGGAGAACAATACAAACTCAGACTCCAAGCCCACCCATAACAAGTGCAGAGGATACTAACGCAAAAACAAATTAGGAACAACACAGCTGAAATCAATGAAACAACAGCTTCTGAAATAAAGAAACAACTGCAGAAAGGTATAGAGGAACTCAGATTGGAAATGAAAAAAGAAATTCCTGAATTAATAGCATCTGCAGTAAAGAATGAAATGCATAAACATATGGAGGAAACCCAAAGCCTACCCCAGAACAAGTGCAGAGGACACTAGCTAAGCTCAAATGTATGAATTAATAGCATCCATAGTAACTAAGCAAAAGCAGAAAATTATAGAGGAACTCAGAGAGGAATTCTTTTCAGAAATTAAAAAATAATTTTCTGAACTCATAGCATCAGAAGTAATGAATCAACCACAGGAACATAGGGAGGAAACCAAATCTGAAGAAATCACTGCAGTAAAAGAATTAATGACTGCTTCTAAAGAAGACTTTAAAAAATTGAAGAAATTTAAAACTGACTGGTTACTTGAATGAGCAATATAGGAAAGAAATAGATCGTATAAAGCAGAGTCAAAGAGATATAGAGGAATTTAAAATCTCAATCACAAGCTTGCAAAATCATTTAAGTGAAAGTGAAGACAGAGCTTCAGATCTAGAAGAAGCTGGTGCAGCTAGGGAAAAGTTAAGAAAGGATCTCTTAAAAACGAATAGGATTCAGGAAAAAATAATACATCAAATGCAAGATGATGCAAAGATGAACAATGTGAGACTAACAGGCGTCAATGAGAAAGAAGGAGTCAATAGAAATGACATTAAAAAAATATGGGCAGAAGTAATAGAAGAAAACTTCCCAAATACAAGGAAACAATCTGACATTCTGGTAACTGAAGCATACAGAATGACAACTAACATCAACCCAAATAAAAACACACCGAGACATATAATAGTCAATATTCCAGGAATCTAGCACAAAAATAATAGACTGAGCGCCGCTAGAGAAAAGAAGCAGATCACATTCTAAAGAAAACCCATCAGTATTATGGGTTTTCTTACAAACCATGAAGGCAAGAAGAGCATGGAGCAGAGGACTTTAAGTCCTCTATGAAAACAAATTCCAGCCCAGACTACAATACCCTGAAAAACACTCTTTCAAGTTTCATGGAGAAGTGAAATACTTTCATGACAAAGAACAACTAAAGAATGTTATGATAACAAAGCCAACAATACACAGGCTCCTGAGAGAGGTTATAGAGTGGGACCAAAATGGGCAGAACTCCACGAATGAGATCAGAATTAATCAAATAAATAGGGCAAACAATTAAACACAAGAGAAAAGAAGTAAATGACAATAGGTAAATAACAAGAAAATCGTAAGTCAATACATCTCAATTATAAATATCAATGGACTCAATTCACGAATTAAGAGAAATAGACTGGCACAGTGGATTAGAAAACAAAATCCAGCAATATGCTGTATACAAGAAACACATTTAACTCAAAAAGATATTCCTAGGCTGAAAGTCAAATGATGGAAAAAAATACAACATGCAACAGCAACTCAGAAAAAAGTGGGAGTAGCAATCCTATTTTCAGATGGTCTAAACTTCAAACCAACAAAGATCAAGAGAAAAAAAAGGCCACTACATTCTGGTTATAGGAAAAATTCAAGATGAAGAGGTAAAAATCATAAATATGTATCCACCAAAACCAGGAGCACCCAACTATATAAAGCAAATCTTACTGGACATGAAAAATCTAATATCCAACACAGAAATCTTAACAGGAGAACTTAACACTCCCTTATCCCAAAAAGATAGGTCAACCAGACAAAAATTAGCAAAGAAATAACAGAACTGAACCAGAGCTTGAAACAAATGGACTTGGTGGACATATACAGAGTGTTCCACCCAAACACAGCTGAATACAAATTTTGCTCAGCTACACCTGTGTAATTTTCTAAAATAGACCACATACTGTTACATAGGTCATTCTTAAGTATATGCAAGAACACAGAAATTATCCCATGCATATTATCTGACAACAGTGCAATGAAATTGGAAATAAAGGACAAAAGAAACCAGAAAACACCCTCAATACATGGAAATGAAACGACACCCTACTCAGGAACCAATGGATAACAGAAGAAATTAAACAAGAAATTCAGCAATATCTACAATTCAATGAAAATTCAAGCACAATTTATCGGAATTTATGTGATATGATGAAAGGAGTTCTCAGAGGGAAATTCATCGCTGTGAAATCACACATTAGGAAAACAGAACGGGAACAAATAAACACCTTAATGCTAAAACTTCAACAACTAGAAAAAGAAGAGCAAACCAAGCCCAGAGCC